CCAGTCCATGTTTTTTTGCCGCCATTATGTGATCGGCCATAATGATAGTTCTGCCCCTTATACCACTAGTATAAATAGGGATACTATTACATATACCAAGGTAACGCCCGTAATGCAAAAAATACATTTTCTAAGCTATTTTTGCAAATCATACTGCACACACAAGAACTCTCACATTCTTTAGATTCCTCACTCAAGCTCACCAGCTGACTTGATCATTGGAAGAACAATGGGGGAACCAGTCTCCGTCCTCTCACGAGTTTCTACTTGTGCAGACTTTCAGCCGCCCAACTCAGAACTGGATATTCGGGGAAGAAAGTGTCTCATCATCAACCTCAACCCCATCCTATCATCAACGTCAACCCTATCCAACCATGAATATAATTAACTGTGTGATCACTTAACATCAACAGTTTGATGCCCGCCATGGGGCTACTTTCTTTTTTGAGAAAACATGTCTAGTTCCGAGCATGGGTCCGATCCATTTCACCCTGTAGAACCACGTCAGAGGTACGTTACTCGAGCCCAGCTTGAGGAACAAATTAGAAGCTTTCTCTATCTCTTCAAGTACAATTCACTACTCCTTACTAGCAAACTTTTCAGCCGGCTTCCGTACCCACAGAAAGCTACCTCAGCTCTCCTCCTACCTTCTGAAGACTAGCGGTCGGAGCTTCCGTACCCACAGAAAGCTACCTCAGCTCTCCTCCTACCTTCTGAAGACTAGCGGTCGGAGACTCGCCCTCCTTCCAGAGCATAGGGAGTAGTCCCGCCTCAGACTCCTCATGTTGCTGCCAAGCAGCTGGGGGATTGCATCGAGCACGTGTCCCTGCCACCACATCGATTGGCTTGCGCTGATGAGCCTCATGGACATCGCCACCATCATCAAGAGATAATTAGTGAAAGTCTAGGCCCAGGTCACCTTGGGGACTGCACCAGGGGAGTGGTATTTGTTATGGTGTTTTCAATCACCTAAGTGTAACTCTTGCCAACAACGGACGGGTGTACTTCTGCATACAATGCCCCAATCAAATTAGCGGCTGAGACCCATGAGGGTTACAACTCAGCCGACTCACCGAGTCGACATTCCTTCATGTTGAATCAAAAGGTGGTACTAGTCGACCCTCTTGTCGAAGACGACTCACAGCGAGCCCAATCAATCAGATATTCGATGCCTCCCGATGATGACTCGAAAGGCGTTACTTCTCGACCAAGCTAAAGGACTTCAGCCTCGAGATCCCCCCACTGACAATGTCGACATTGCAGTTAATGCCTCGCAGGTGTCATCATGCCCCTAGCGCTGATAGTATTCATGACTCATCGGACCATGTCAACACCACCATGCCTCTGATCACTTCTCATCCAATGCTGAGGTGATCTCTCCTCCTGCCGCCAGCCGACACCTATAAAGAAGGAGCTGACTCGGCTGCCAGTCCATGCTTTTTTGCCATCATTCTGTGCTCGACCATAATAATGGTTCTATCCCTTATACTACCAGTATAAATAAGGACACTATTCCATATACCAAGGTAACGCCTATAACGCAAAAAATGCATTTTCTGAGCTACTTTTGCAAATCATACTACACATACAAGAACTCTCACAGTTCTTTAGATTCCCCACTTAAGCTCACTAGCTAACATGATCATCGGAGGAATAACTAGTCTTCGTCCTTCATGAGTTTCTACTTATGCAGACTTTTCAGCCGCCCAACTCAGAACTAGATATTCGAGGAAGAAAGTGGCCCATCATCAACTTCAACCCCATCCAACCATGAACATAATTAACTGTGTGATCAATTAACATTAACAGTTTGGCGCCCACTGTGGGACTACTTTCTTTTTTGAGAAAACATGTCTAGTTCCGAGCATGGGTCCAATCCATTTTACCTTGTAGAACCACGCCAAAGCTATGTTACTCAAGTCTAATTTGAGGAAGCAGCTTAGAAGCTTTCTTAATCTCTTCAAGCACAATTCACTACCCTTACTAGCAAACTTTTCAGCCGGCTTCCGTAGCCACAGAAAGCTACCTCAACTCTCCTCCTACCTTCTGAAGACTAGCGGTCAAAGACTCGCCCTCCTTCCGGAGCATAGCGAGTAGTCCCACCTCGGACTCCTCATGTTGCTGCCAAGGAACTGGGGGATCACGTCGAGCATGCGTCCCTACCATCACATCGAACAACTCGCACTGATGAGCCTCGCCAACATTGCCACCATCATCAGGAGATCACTGGTGAAAGTCTAGGCCTAGGTCACCTTAAAGACCGCACCAAGGGAGTGGTCTCTAAGAATCTTCTCCATAATCGTGCCTCTCTAGCTCCCGCTGCTACCATAGGGGCCTCTAGACACGACTGAGTGTATAGACCAGTCACAGATGCCATCGGGGGGAACACCCCTCTCTCAGATGACATTATGAGTTCTCCATGTGAAAAATTCAAGATGCCTAACGTAGAGAAGTACAAAGGCCAGGGAGACTCCTCCAAGCATGTTCAGAACTACTATGATGTAATAAGCATGCTCCAAGCTTAAGAAGTGATTATCTGTCGATGTTTCCCCATCGCTCTTTCAGGGAGTGCCAAGCTCTGATGGAATACTCTTGAGAAGAAGTCCATCAACAGCTTTCAATAACTCAGCCAGAAGTTCATTCATCACTTCCTGGCTGATACCAAGCAGAAGTTGCCCTCTCATGTGTTGATCTAAATGAGGCAGAGGCCCAGAGAGAGCCTTCAAGCCTACTTTAAAAAATTTAGGCGAAGAGGCTGGAGGTCAACGACCCAGGGAGTGCAGTTGCTATGTCTATACTCGTAGCCGACTTGCAAAGCAATAAGTTGGCCAACTCGCTTGCTAAGAAGCCAGTCGTCAACTATGAGTAGTTGATGGCCAAAGCTAATGGGTATATGGACATGGATCTTGATGGACATCTTATATGTCAACGCCTTCAACTAAATGGATATCGACAAATCTTGCTTGCTTCCCTATAGAGGACCCCTCATTGGATTCATCGGCCACTCTCTTTTGCCAGAAGGGATGATTACTCTCCCCCTAATAATTGGAGAGTACCCTAGGCAAGCTACCGTCCAAGTCTAGTTACTGGTGATGAATCTTAAGTTGGTCTACAATGTCATCCTAGGTCGAACCACCCTCCATCTCTTACGGGCCATCCCTTCAACTTACCGCCAGATGGTCAAGTTCCTGACTCTTAATGGAGTCGGAGTTGCCAGGAGCAATCAGTGAGAGGTCAGGTCATGTTACTTGCTCTCGACCAAGGGTAAGGGCGTGCAAGACGCTATGCCGTTGAGAAAACTTGCCTCTAGTTGGAGAAAGTGACAGAGGACGACACCGATGGAAGAGATTCAGGAGATACCCATTGACTGAGAAGGATGGAAGATGGTCAAGATCGGGTCCAATCTAGTTGAGCCCTTATGAGGAGCCTTGATAGGGTTTTTGCAGTCAAATACTAATGTGTTCACCTGGGGACCCAAAGACATGACAGGGCTCCCCCTGAAGTGATATACCATGAGCTGGTTGTCGATAGGCACACTAAGCTTGTTCGACAAAAGAAGAGACACATTGGCCTAGAGCACCAGAGTGTAGCGGCCAATGAAGTAGAGCGACTTCTCAGAGCTGGCTTCATCCGGGAAGTCCAATACCCGGAGTGGCTAGCTAATGTGGTGTTGGTGAAGAAGGCACTGAATAAATGGAGGATGTGTGTAGACTTCACTGACCTTAACAAAGCTTGTCCCAAGGATAGCTATCCTCTGCCTTGAATCAATCAGCTAGTTGATGAGAGTGCCGGACATGAGCTACTCAACTTCATGGACACCTTCTCTGGCTACAATCAGATCTTTATGGCAGAGCATGATCAAGAGAAGACCTCCTTCATCACTGACTTGAGGACATACTGCTACAAGATGATGCCATTCGGACTGAAGAATGCCAGAGCCACATATCAGAGACTCGTCAACAAGATCTTCAAGCACCAGATCGGTCGCGACCTGGAAGCCTATGTGGATGACTTGCTGGTGAAGTCAAAACAAGTGTCTGCCCATATTTCAGACTAGGATGAGACCTTCTCCACCTTTCGACGCTATCGAATGAAGCTCAATCCTACCAAGTATGCCTTTGAGGTACAATCGAGAAAGTTCTTAGGGTTCATGATCACCTAGAGAAGCATAGAGATCAATCCTGAGAAGTAAATCACCATCGAGCGACTACCTGAGCTACGCACCTTAAAGGATATCCAGAAGTTGAATGGGGAAGATAGCAGCTCTGGGATGATTGCTCTCCAAATCTACTGAGAGGAGCTTCCCATTCTTCAAAACTTAAAGGGGAAGCAAGAACCTGAAGGAGAGCATGACATGGAAGGTTGAATGTAGTGCAACTTTTCAGGATCTCAAAGTCTACTTGAGTACCAAGCCACTGCTAAGCTAGCCCATAGTGGGAGAGTCATTATACTTGTACATGGTTGTCTCCTCCGAAGCTGTCAGCTCCGTCCTCATTCGAGAAGAGGAGAACATCCAGAAGCTCGTTTACTATGTGAGCCGAATCCTCAAAGCGGGCGAGCTCAACTACCCCCTCATAGAGAAGGCTGCATTCGCCCTTATCATCACAGCAAGGAGACTTCGCCCTTACTTCTAGGCTCATGTCGTCATTATGCGGATGAATCTACCTCTGACAAAGCACTAGGCAGCCCCACAACATTTAGGAGGATGGTCGCCTAGGTAGTCGAGCTCAGCGAATATGATGTGCAATTTAAACCCAGGATGACAATCAAAGCTCAAGCCTTGACTGACTTCTTGATTGAATCAACTTTGCCAGGCGACGAGCCAAACGCCCCCTACCGACAATACAACCATCACCTCCAGCACCTAAAGTAGTCCAATCCCTTGCTCCACAGATCCGTCACACCATAGAACATGATTTGTTAGACCCTAGAGGGGGGGTGATTAGGGTTTTATGCTAATCTAATCCGATTTTATGTTAATTAAAACTTATTAATAAGTTATCCTAGCAAGTATAAAATACAACAAGATATGTGAGCTAGGATAAGTGATATAAACAAAGGGATATATCCTAGCATTAAGATATATGATGAAATACATGTAAGGATATATAAATAACACAAGGGTAAACAATCTAAACTAGATAGTGGGCAATATAAACAATACAAACACACAATATGATCACGGAGTTCGGGCCTTCCGTCCTACGTCTCCACTCTCCACTCCTGGGAAGAAATCCACTATCACAATCGGGTTTTCTACACTCACCAGAATAATGTTTACACCATACAATATCGGTTTTCAATGGTCACTGATCAACGTTCACAATCTCACAATGTGACTACACTCCACACCTCACAATACGGTTTTCTAGCTAACCGAAAACTCTACAACACTTTTAATATAACAATTTTGTTCTCTACGATAGATAAGAACTCAATGTAGGCTCACTCTCTAAGTCACACAATCCCACAACCCAATTATACAATGTATGCAAATACAATAAGCTCAATGGTTGTGTGTGTAAACAAAGAGAAATAAAATCAAACTCAATTAAAGTCTAACAAATATAAATATAATAATGTAAATATAAACAAGCCAGATAATTGAGTTGAGAAAACTTCTCTAGAACAAGAGAGATGGAGATGTGAAGTGGAAAGCTCAAACCAAAGATGATCTCCTCTTCTTGTGAAACAATCTTCACAAACTTGAAACTTTTAACCCACACTTAAACAAAACTTAAACTCTTGTAAAAACTTGTTTAAAACATCCCTTGATTGATGAAAATAGTTATGGCAAAGTAATATATATAGGGTAGAAGAAAACAACCCAAAAAACCCCAAAAACCCACTAAAAAACAAAAATCAGCAAGTTACCATTACTGTGCAACGGTAACTTCGGCAATCGACCGTGACGGTCGACCGCAAGAAGGTAAACTATAAAATAGCTCTCTGGACTATAGACAGTCGACCGTGGCAGTCAACCACACTGTAGCACGGTCGACTGTAGTGGTCGACCGCACTGTTCACAGACAGTTTCTGTTTTTTACAGATTCTGGAATTTTGCGTATCTAACTTTGTAAAATCAATTAAAAATATTAAATAAATTCCAAAAATCATGAAATTTTGAGAGAATGTTCTATACATGTAGATAAACATGTTAGAGAAAGAATTTCTAAAATATCACTTCTCAGTTAAGAGAAATAAATGTTTGAACACAGATATACAGTTTCTGAAAAAACTGCTGAAAACTCGGTTTTGTAAATTCAATTAAAAATAACAAAACATCTCTAAAATTAGTAAAACTTGGGGAAATATTATTGGCTTTCTTGGTTTGATGATGCTTAACAAATAATTTACTTCTAATATTATTTATCTAGTGTTTGTATAATTCTATTTATTGTAGACAAACAACATGTTGGAGAATGGATGGAATAGAGCTTCAACGATCATATCCAATGGAGGTTGGCAAAATTGTGGAGTGAAGCCATACAATTCAAGTTGAAGATTCAAGTTCAAGCTTCATCTGTACGTTTACCAAGTTGAGCTATAATGGAGATCAAGATCAAGCTTGGATAATTTAGTTTAGGTGTTATATTATGTGTGTTAAGTACTTTAAGCTCAATATCATATACACACACATTTTATTGGTTTCTATATGTATATATATAGTTATATATATATGTACACATTTTGGATTTTGGTTTATCCACAAACAAAGTTTTTAGCAGCATATAAATAAATATTTATATTCATACATGTTTGTTTTTATGTGGATAAGTTGGTTTGGTTTAATTTCATAGATATGAAACAAATATATATTCATATTCATACTTATATGTTTCATATTCTATTTGTATTTATGAAAAATACTATATTCATTATTTATAGACTTTATAACAATAGTTTACATCTTTCTTCAAGTCTATAAAATCATTTTGTATTGTTTCAAAATATGGTTAAGCTAAAATGTCAAAACTCATATGTTTACATTTTTATGTTTTGGACTATTTTGCAAAATGATGATATTTCTTATTTGGGAAGTCCTTTTTGAAAACAAGTTTTTGTAGCATGTGTATTATCATGTCTACAATCATTTCCCAAAGTTTTATATTTTTTGGAATTTATTTGATATTTTTAAACAAGGTTTTAAAATCAGAAAATTAACTTTCAAACTGTTCTATTCATGTATCAGTTTGCGGTCGACCCCCACGGTCGACCGCACCTGAGTTTTTACCTGCGGAATCAAACAAAAACTTTCACGGTCAACCGCCACGGTCAACCGTCAGCTCGAATTTTCCCACGGTCGACCGCCAAAGTCTCTGGAAAATTCTCAGCTTCGAAAGTGGCTCGCGGTCGACCGTGAGATTTTCACGGTCAACCGCCGTTCACTCCAACGACTATTTTTGTACAGAATCTGATTTCCGATTCTGTGGGCTTTTTGGTCTTTTGTTTAGAGTTTTTGGCTGAGGTTTTTGGAGGCTATAAATACTCCATTGATCTCAGTTCTCTTGGCAATCCAAGAAATATTTTAACAAAGTTTTAACAAGGGTTTAAGTGTTGTTTAAGTTTGTTTAAGAAGCTTTTAAGCATTTGAGAGTTTTAGTTTGTGAAATCAATTTCACAAGAGCTTGAGGAGATCATCTATTGGTGTTTGGGCATCCAACTATTCTCTTAAACTCAATTCTAGCATTTTATAAGTTTGTTCTTAATTTCATAAGCTAGATTTCATATTGAGTTTATATTGTTTTATCTCTTTGTTCACACACAACCTATTGAGCTTATTGTATTTACATTCATAGTATAATTGGGTTGTGGGATTGTGTAACTTAGAGAGTGAGCTTATAATTCGTTCTCATCCATTATAGAGAACAAACACTTTGTATTGTGCTTAATTGTGAGATCATTTTGTAATACACTTATACACCGAGAGAAGTGTGTGGCGAGAGTCGGGGATCGTCCCAAGAGGAGTGGTGTTAGTTGACGAACCTAGGGAGAGGTTGTATCTGAGCACTTGAGGGAGACACGTCTAGTTCAACACTTGAGAGGGTGTAGAGTGGGATTACAAGAGTGTGTTAGTTGTAGAATTTTCGGTAAACTAGAAAATCGTATTGTGAGGTGTAAACGTTGTTCGGGTGAACGTAGAAAACCCGGTTGTGATAGTGGAGATCTCCTCGAGGTGAGGAGCGGAGACGTAGGTCATGGGGACCGAACTCCGTAATCATATCGTTTGTTTGTGATTGCATTGGCATACTTATTTTTATGTTCATATCTTATATCACCTTTGTATATTGCTTGTTGATTATATTGCCCACTATCTAGTTTAGATTATTTACCATTGTATTAATTATATATCCTTACATATATCTCATAGTATATCTTATTGCTAGGATATTGCTCTTTGTTCATATTGATTATTCTTGCTTGTAACATATTATATATCTCTTTTGCAAGAATAATTTGTCATTAATTTTAATTAGCATAAAATCAGATTAAATTAGCATAAGATCCTAATCACCCACCCTCTAGGGTCCAACAATTGCTATCAGAGCTTGGTGCTATTTGATTTAACGACTAATCGTCTTGAGTTAAAGATCTAAGTTATCTTATTTGTGCTAATCTAGTTATGATTATATTTATCTTACTTGCATATATTCACATATATATCATGAATATAAATATATTTCGTTTAGGCTATGATCCAAATATTGCTCCAAAATTTAGAAATTTCCCTTATGCTCAATGGTGCTCAGAATTTAAAATATTTATTGAATCTAGAAATATTGACTTATGGAAAGTTATTGATTGTGCTTATATTGTGCCCACATTGGAGAAATCCAAGTGGAGCAATCATGGTAAGAAAATGTTTTCAATGAACAAGCTTTTTTAGAATTTTTGCTTATTGCTTTTGACTCATCATTTTCTAACAAATTTGTTCATTTTGATAGTGCTTACAAACTTTGGAAATTCATTGAAGTATATCTAGGGGACTTGGAGGTAATCCGACAAGCTTTGGAGGATTCTTCTTCAAATTCATATAGAGCATCATGCACACGGCCACAAGAGGATAACTCTTGTATAGTAAGCGATTCCGATTCCGATAATGACTTATCTATTGATGAACTCACTTGTGCATATGAGAAATTATCTCATGCCTATACTAAATTGCAAAGTAATTTTATTAATCTTAAAAGCAAGCATGTAGATTTGAAATCCGATCATAAGTCGCTAGCTTCCAAACTTGATATTGTTGTTAAAGAGAATGCTATTTTGAAAGAAAGCAATGAGTTATTAAGTTTGGAAAATAATAACATGTCTTTATCTATTACTAGCTTAACTCATGCTAATAATGATGCTATGATAGAAGTAGAAACTATTATAAATGAGTTTAATTCATTTATAAATGGTCATGTTTTATCTACTTCTATTTCCAATGCTTGTATGCACAATGATGAGTTGAATCATGTGAAAACCGCATATCTTGTTTTGATTCAACATTAAACACATGCATTGATAATCATAAGAAACTTATGGACAAGTGTGCTAATTCTAGTGCTATAACTTATAAATCACCTACACACTATGCACACTTGTATAGTAAAGTTTACAAGTGCTCTATATGTGGTCGTAAATGCCATTTAGC